CCAAAAAAAACAGAAACAGACAAAAGTGGCTGGTCTCTGCAGCTTTCTTCGTATGGTGGAAAAGACTGAATAGCAACGCCCCCTTTGTTCCCAAATGTACGCACACAGAAACAAATGGGAGAGGCAGGCGCTTGAGAGAAATCGCAGGCAACAACTGCCGTAGCCCCATTTCGTAATCAAGCCCAACAAGGCAAGAGAAGAGGCCAATGTCAGCCAGGACTCCACCTGACAGCTCCCTCCCGTCAAAGGCGCTGTCGGGCTGGGCAGCACTTGCTGAACTTAGGTAAAGAGAGAGAGAGAGGGGGGGGGACGCCGCGATCTCGGTGAAGATCGGCGCTCAGAAGATGGGAGAAATACCCTAGTATACGAGGAACTATGGGGAGTGTATTTAGAAACAAGCAACACAGAATAAAGTGAAGTATGAAAAAAAAAAAAAAAAAAAGAGTCAGAGACAAGAACGACAAGGTCTGTCAAAGTAAGCGAAAGAGCTAGGTAGCAACACGAGGAGGCGAAGACATGAAAACGTCCATCTCGGCCGGTAAAAGACTCGTTGTCAACGTCGGTCTCGGCAATGTAAACTGGAAGCCCACCTCACACAGAGAGAGCCAAGCTGACCAGGCCCAAAACCGTCCCCCCGCCCACCCAAATCATTTGGCACTTATTTCCAAGAACGTCATATACGGGAAGGGGGGGTGCGGGCTTTGCGATCAAAGGGACAGACGCTCTAAGAGGCTCCTCGTGGGCCCCTCCCCATCGTATGTTGAGGCGGCCCCACCAACTTCCACCACCACCCCCCATATTTGCGGACGTAAAGATACTTTCCCCAAAGTCCCCTCGTGTCTTCCTAGTTTCCCGACTTAGCGGAACGCCTCGGAAAGAAGTGCGCCGCAACCACGGATAGGGCAGTGGTCAACAAAGTGTGGCTGTTCTACCACTCGTGGCCTGGTGAGATTGAGTTTGTGAGGACGGCAATGACTCCCGAGGCGCGTGCTAAGAGGGGGGGGGGGGGGCAGGACATATCTCTGCAATCACTCGAGCTTGGACCGTTGCGGGCAATGGTCAATGAAGGGTCATGGATAGTAAAATTGTTCTCTGTATGGAAAATAAAGTCATTAAACTACATAGGCTCATGATAGGGGCAAAGCTGCCAAAATCGTATAATGAAGAGGATGTCCTGCAAGCGAGAAAGACAAAGGAGCAGTGAAGAACAAAAGAATCAGACGATTGAGAGTTAAGGCAAATGACCTGCAACAATCGATAACCCCCCCAAAGAAGCGGGTGATCATGGAATGAGCAAGACATACAGAATGCTGCATTCGTTAAAAAAGGCGGCCAAGTAGAAAAGAAGAAAGAGAGAAGAGTCATAAGTCGTTAAGCAAGCAAAGAACCCAATCATGAGCGTTAAACTTTTCCAGCAAGGTAACGGATGTTTTCTATGACCGCATTCGTCAACTCGCCTTGTCCTGTGTAGACATAGGTGACTGTCTTGGACCAGACCTCGGGATAGGGTAGCGGCAGCTCAATAACGTCGCCTGCCGTGATATGGCCAGAGACGATAAGAGCTGCCAGCACCGGGAGCGAGGGCCAGGCGTATTGGAGATCTGTGGGTGGGTTGGGTGTTAGCCTTGGTGTCCAGCCCTGCACTCGGGTGGGGGGGAGCCGGCCATGGAGGCTATGGCCAAAAAGGTTCAAGTCCGCAAACGTCAGAGGGTATTAACTTAGGTAAGACATTACTTACGGATTGGCATAATGGTGGCGCCTCGAGATGGAGCTGCGCGGGGATATCCAGATTTTAGCCCACGGCTGTAAGGGAGCGGGCTGTGTATCGCGCTGCTCGACCGCCTTCGTGCCGCGCTCGGCCGAGGAGATGAGACGTTTGGCGATGGTGAACTGGCCAAAGAATGAAGAGATGGCCGCTGTCTTTGATGTGCGGAAGGAGAGCTTGGCAACGGGTCCGCGACGGTGGAGCGTAGCTGCTCTATGTCGAGAGTGCGTTGGATGACGAACGGTTTGCGGTCCAGGGCCCGAGGACGCACAAGAGCCCGAATTACGGTCTGGTCGGGCGGGAGTGTCGGCGTGGGCGGCATCGGGGGCAAGGAACCACCAGCTGAGTTATCCGAGTTGGTGCTTGCATCAGATTTTCGACGAAAAGCTACAGCCTGGACAAAGACATCAGAGGTTTTGGCATCACCGAGATACACATGACCCCATGCTCGCAGCTGCTCAAGCTTGATGCGCTTCTCAACCTCCTTCGATCTGGCAAGGTATCCAGCTCCTGCCACAGACTGCCGTCGCTGTGCCTCATCGCCCAAGCCGGCAAGAAGCATCGACCGAGTTTCCGCTGCCAGGGTCTGTCTGCGACCGCTGCTGCCCACCGGTGGGGAGACCGGAGTTGCTGATGGCGGCGGCGGCGGACCTGGCCGGCGAGGACTAATGGGGGCAGCCGAGTAACGCCTGCCATCGCTAGCTGAGTGCTTTGCAAGAGGAGAGAGCGGCGTTGGCCGGTTTGACGACTTTGGCGGGCTAAGGCCGCCGGCACCTTGAGCTTGTCGGAGGTTGGAGCCGAGGCGGTCGACCATAGCCCGCTCATGTTGTCTCATGGATCCATCGTTGGAAGGAAATACCGGAGTGGGCAGGCTTTTCGGTGAACGGTCAGAGGGACTGTAATACGAGCTAGGTGCTGTAGGTCTGGCTGAAGATGAAGAAGACCGAGGGAAGCCGCCATGGTTATATGAAGGAGTCCATAGCGGATTAAGGCTAGGACGAGGATGGTTCTCGATCGGAGTAGCCATATCGTTTTGCAGTAGTTGTAGAGGTGAATGCCTTCTACGATATATCAAATGGGTATGAAGGATGGAGGAGCCAAATCAGGGTTTCCGAGTAACAAGGGTCCAAAGATCGGAATATACAACCGAGTTGATGGGATGGCGGTGATAGATTCAAGAGTCTGCAGCCCTGTTGGGTTTGATCAAGGGAGGCGAGCTCTCTTATGTCTGGGATGGGTGGAGGGAGAATAGGGCTAATTAATATCTACAGGAGGCTGGTGACCTTGTGAGTCTGTCTGCAAGTCTTGCTCCGCCCAGCTGTTGTTTAACGCGCCAAAGAGAAAGGACTCTTGCGCCAACTGCCGGGATCAGAAAATGAAAGGACTGGTAGGCACGGTATGCCTTTCTCAAAGAAGGACAAGAAAGAGAGCCAAGGTGCAAAGAAGAAGAGTGTTAACAGACAGGCTGTCACTGACAGAGAAAGGGTGTGTGTGAAGAAGGCGGCCAAAGTCTTCGCTTTGGCCCTGCAAGCCTGGTGGGAGTGTAATGAGGAATGCGGTCGTCAACCCTCAAGCGACAATGAGCGGTTGCGGCCAACAGCCGTGCCCATGTCGCTCATTGCAGACGAGAACAAAGGAGATGAGCTAGCAGGTGCGTGGGTTGTCGGAAGCAAACCCATGGGTGATGGCAGGCCTGATGCTGAACCTATGCAGATGGCCGCAGAGGAGAACAAAGGAATGTGGCTTGTCTGGGCCTCCATTCGTCGTGTCTCTGGCCACATTATTGGCTTTACAGGGTATCTTTCCTGCCACCTTGAGGCCTAGGTGTGCAGATTGTTGGCTTCGACGCATAGAAGCAGTTTCTGTGTCTCTCTGATTCTTTTACCGCACAGTCGATTCGCAGCTTCGGTCGGGAGCTGCCAGCAGCAAGAGCGGCAGAGAGACGATGCAACCAAGGCAACCAACCGTCAAGAGCTGAAGGGGGGGGGATTTGGGTTTGGGTTTGCAGTTGGACTTGCGCTTGCACTTCTATTCGCAGTCGCATTCGCACCAATGGCACTTGGCGTAGCTGTGTCCGTCCATGTATCCGTAATTAGCTTTAAATAAGTAGTCATTGTAGGCCTGTATCTTTTTCACGTAGAGCTGTCTTGAAATACAATGCCGCCGTGAGGCCGGGGGCGAAGTGTGGAGTTGGAACATCAACGGCGTCGGTATGTCTTGGAAGTTTGGGACGACGGGGGATGGTTGCGGCCGTGATGGCGAAAAGTGGGAAACGGTGGAACAAGACGACAGGCAGCGAGTGATTGGGATCTCCGATCTCGATTTGTGATGGATTGGGAAGACAGAGTGGAGGCGAACAAGGAGCTGACAAACCGATGGGTGTTGTCAGCGACAAGATTGGTTGGGATGCGTGGATGGATGCGTGGAATGCGTCGTATGCGTGGGAGTGGGAGAGTGGAGGGGGATGAGACAACAACAGGAACCCAACACGATGCCTTGGAGGACGCTCCAGGAATGCAAAAAGTTTGTGACGTGTCTGCCTTCGGCGTCGCTTGGCCTTACCTAAGCTTGCCCCGTCCCCGAGCTTTCCTTTGACGGCGGAAGGCACGGAGGATTTCAGCGTCAGGTAAGCCTTCCTGCGGCCTTCCTGCGGCCTACCCCCGTCCCCTCTCCCCTCCCCCGTGTCTCCGAAGCCATCCGGTATGGATCCACACGGTACTGCGGAAGGAGCTGGTGATTGGGCGAGTCTTCCTGCTCACCCATTGCTCTGAAAAGAGTGTCATCTGCAAAGAAGGAGCTTGGACCACCTTCTCTTTAGTTGCTCCTTCTGGCTAGAGAAAGGTTGACGTTGCAAATGCTTGTCAAAACACTGCAAAGCCACACCACCACACAACCAAAAGAGCAACAACGCAACGAACAGCTTGTTCTCTACGCTGGACCGGGGCGATAGCCATGCTCACCGCCTTCCAACGCATCCTCTCCTCGTTGGACATGCTTTGAAACCCTCTCTAATACTTTTTGTTTCTCCCCAGAAACCAAACTCTCTTACGAGCCATCGCAAACATGTCCGACGCTACGGCCGCGAGCTACAAGAAGCTCAAGGAAGACTTTGTCTCCAACCTCTCTGGTGGCTCCGCCTCCGAAGTCAACTATGTGACCGCAGTCGCTCCCGTGCGTAACCATCTCCTTTGAACAAAATCTCTGGTCAGCCCTTCTTGCTCCCCTGCTGGATGGCCCCCCCTTTCCCCTTCATCCCTCCCACCCACGCGCCCCCGCGCAGCGCAGCGCATGCATCAAGACAAAGCAAAGGAACTGACATCCGCATTCCTTCCCAGGTCGCCGTCCTGCTGTGGTCTGTCCTCCAATCACGCCAATCCTTCTTTAAACCGTACACCCTGCTGGGAGCTGCCGCCGACTTCCTCCTCAACGTCACCGCCATCCTCCTCTCCACGACCCTCTACGCCTCCTCCCCCTTGCTACTGTGCGCCCTCCTCCTCGGCCCCGTCATCCTCATCTATGCGCTGCCTCCCAACATCGGCGCCAGTCGCAAGAGGCCCGCTATACCTCCCAATGCGAAGCCCAAGGCCGGCGCCGGCGCCGGCGCTGCGTCACTCTTCGTGCTGCCCGTGAAGCCCTTCCTGACGCACTACCGGGGCAGCATGCTGGTCATCACTTGCATCGCCATCCTCGCCGTCGACTTCCGCCTCTTTCCGCGCCGCTTCGCCAAGGTCGAGACATGGGGCACATCGCTGATGGACATGGGCGTTGGTTCCTTCGTCTTCAGCGCCGGCGTTGTCGCTGCTCGCCCTGTCTTGAAAGAACGCGCAGAGGGTCGATCGGTACCCCTGACGACACGTCTGCTGCAGTCGATGCGCCACTCCTTACCGCTGCTCGTTCTGGGTGTCATCCGCTTGCTCAGTGTCAAGGGTCTCGACTACGCTGAACATGTCACCGAGTATGGCGTCCACTGGAACTTCTTCTTCACACTGGGTTTCTTGCCGCCGTTTATAGCCATCTTCCAGTCCGCGCTCAAGATTGTGCCTAGCTACGCCGCCCTCGCCATCATCCTGAGTGTCTTGTATCAAGTCGCTCTGGAGAGCACCGACTTGAAGGCTTACATACTGACCGCGCCGAGGACTGACCTTGTCTCCATGAACCGAGAGGGCATCTTCAGTTTCTTCGGCTACCTGGCCATCTTCCTCGCGGGACAGGATACAGGAATGTACGTCCTGCCTCGGAGCCTCAACATCAAAAGCGATTCCACTCCTGCTACCCAGCGCAAGACTCTTCTCATGATGATGGCCGTATGGTCTGCTGCGTGGACCGGGCTATACTTTTTGACCACCAGCAACAGCTACGGCGACGGCCTAAACGTCTCACGTCGTCTCGCGAACCTCCCCTACGTTCTGTGGACCGCGGCGTTCAACTCGACACAGCTTCTAGCATACGCCCTAGTGGACACAATCTTCTTCCCGTCCTTTTACAACGCGACTGACGCGAGGACGGAGAAGGAGGCGTATGAGACGGCGACCAGCAGGGTGTTCCGTGCCTATAACCGCAATGGCTTGTTTCTGTTCCTGATCGCAAACGTCTTGACTGGATTGGTCAATATGACGGTGCCGACGCTGCATCTTGGACCCATGGCAACGATAGGCATCTTGGTTACGTACAGTGGAGCAATCACGAGCATCGCTCTGGGACTGGACGCGTACAACATCTCCATCAAGTTATAGATGATGTCGAAATAAAATTTGAGTTACACGGGCTGCAAACATCTCACCCATTATGTGATGCTGACACCCAAAGCCAGCTGGAAAACAGGGTAGTACATGAACGTCTATTCGGATTCGGCATGCAGTTTGAGGATGGCCAAGCTCGCAAGCCCTTCCATAAGCTTCCATGGTGAGCTCCCCCGAAAAGCCCGGAGGTCACGGGCTGCTAGAAACGGAGCAACCGGAAAATCGTAGACAGTCAGCTGACTGACTACAGCCGCTCGTCTGACAGCAAAATTCGCAAATGGAACTCTTCCCGAGACTGATGAATTGGACAGATCATCTTGCATTCCGGTTGTACGACAGCAAAAAAAAAAAAAGCCCACGGCGAGAGAGAGTCAGAGTTCACTCACCACTGATTGTGAACAAAGCTCTCGCAACAACTTGGCAAATGCCACCTGGACAGAGCTTTTCGTGACGGGGTTGATGGTGCTCTTTTGCCCCCAAATATGGGCGGGTATGCGGCTCCCTTACATTGAAGGTTTGTCCTCCAACAACGTCTTCGGTTCAATGGAGTTGATCCACAGCGTCGGGTTTTTCTTTGGAAATCTTCTAGAAATTCGGTGAAAGGCAAGGCAGCCGGCTGGGCAACAACCAAGATTGAATAGCGAACGGTGAGCAAACGTGCCAGGTCCCCTGTTCCTTCGCCGGGAACCCCGATGGCGCATTTCGCATACCAACACTTTCGCATAGTCGAATGCGTCAACTCCTTGATGTGGGTGCTATTGCCGACTTACCTTCGGTCCTACGGATACGCATTGGGTAGACAAGAAGATCCCGGACAGGAATCCGATGTCTGGATACGGGTAGTTCGTCAACGTGTTTGCTGACCTGCTGGGGTCGTCCCTGGGGATTATGGATTGGGCCACATGGCCCAAGTTGAAGTTGGGCAATGGGTGATTGAAGATGCACTGGATATGTGGATAAAACGCGTCGCGGAAATCCGCGAATTTCCGGGCCTCTCTGAGTGGGCTCGTCTATGGAGTCTTTGATGGGGTCAATGTGGCCATAATCATCTCGTTGCTCTTCGCTGTAGACGATCAAAGAGCTTGTTCATTGTCGTCAACTTGGCCCAGGGAAACCGTCCGGCGACCAACTTACATTAGGGACGATTATAGCTATAGAAACCTGGGTTTGGATTCGACTGGCTTTCAATCGCACACGATGGCTCGACCAAGTCGGCAATGAAATGGCACATGCTGTCGTCGTCTGAAAGAGAGCCAATATGATGTCACTGGACAACACGTCTGTGGCCCAAGTGCCGAGTCTGGCTGGGTTGTCCCGGGCTGGTTTTTTGACGGGGCAGCTCGCTTGCTCCAGAGCCGGGGAGACGAATGAGAAACTGGATTGATTAGTTGACTGATGTACAGTATGACTATGGGGACATTCGGAAAGACCTGACCGAGATAGTCTTGGGGCAGTCAACCTGTCAAAGAAGACGGCCGACAAGGAACCCCCCGCCCCCATTAGCACATGCATTTTCAGTATGCAAAAGTGCTTGGAGACGCAAATCTTGGGTGTCAAGTAACATGACTTTCGGCCAGCCCTGAATCCACTCAATTAGCAAGTCGAGATGGGGCACTCTGAGTCTGTTCATGATGAACATAAGCCATTTTGGGCCGGCGCAGGCAGACCCTGGTTGTGCGCCGTGCGCCTCATCTCCGATGTTAATGCTGGATACGACTTTGGGCGTGGGCGTTTTCGCAGACAAACCGTTGGAAGAACTTGGCAAACGATGTCCGCCCTGCCAGTCGGTGTTGGCCTTTTCGAGAAAATGGCTTACTCAAACTTGCTCAGGCAGCTAAATATCTGGCTTTGTACGGTGCGGTAAGTTACGACCAATCGTCAGAACATTAGAGCCGTCAAAGATGCCGCACCTTGTCAAAGGTAGACCAACGATGGCTCGCATAGCATATCAGTGATTAGCCGCGAGCAAGTGCTACATTGATCTCCAGTGCCTATACTTTGTAGATCTACAGTCAAAAAAAAGCGAAAATCGAGGTGTCATGGAGCTGACAGGGCCTGTTGAACGGGATCCCGTCCACGAGTGTGGGGCGGCAGTAGAAAGGGCTGTGTGATTAGTGTGAGACAGGCGAATCAAGATGGAGCGAGGGTGAGTTGGCTCGATTGTAGAAGTCCAGAAGCTTGGCGTAATAAGGTCGATTCAAATACGTGCGTACCTTGCACTGATGAAGGCCGAGGACGGCGGCCCAGCGAGCCACCTAAGTAATAAGATGAAGGTAACTTCGTTAAGGTAAGGGGACAACGTCGTGGGTGATTGACCCAGTGAACCTCGACTCGTCCGTCGGCCATGAGACATCAGATCCAACCGCTTGGTGCGCATAAAGATTGGGGGGATGAAATGTCATGGCGACGACGACATCAACATGGATGTGTGGGGAGAAGAGCGCTGCCAAATGACATGGGATGCGCAAACACGCGATCCATGGTTTGGAGAGCGAGGGGAACTCGACAGTCCGGTCTCGCAGACATTACTGTGTACCCGCCAGCCAGTCAGGTACGTTCTGGACGGTAATTTGGAGAAATGCGGCCTGCCACGTCAATGCAAGGGACGTCGTTGCGGTCTCAAGCGCGTATGGCAGCCCTCTGCAATTATGCCGCAGCTCACAGGACGATCCTGTCCTGATAAGTGACGTTGGATAGGGCCGTGTTGCACCCAAATGCACGAGGCAGACGAGCGTGTTATTGATGCAACGTCTCGATCAAAGAGGGACACTGAGGATGGGATGGAATCGGACAAAATCGAAATCGTTGCGGGAGGATCAGGACGGTCGACCGGTTGGGGCAGTGGTGCGGCTACAGCTGGTCCTGGTGATGATGCCAAGTGAAAAGGACACGACCCCTGGACCATGTCGATACCCCGGTCTCTGTCGCCTGGACGCCCAGCCCACCAGCAGGGGTATGAGGTGTTTCGTTTGACGGTGGCCGACTAAACGCAAAGGTAAATCGCGATGCGACTCTGTAGCTTCTGGGCTTTGCTGCTGCATTAGGAAAGGCCAGATGCCTTCAATGCGGTTCGATTGTAAGGGCCTTGATATCTACATAGTAGACGAGCATTCGGTGCTAGACTCGAGTCGTAGGAGGTTGCGTATGCGTCCGACTGACGCCAACCACCCTTGGCACCATGCATCGCATCTCGCAACCCGGACGAAGGCCTATGGGTTGCATCCAAGTTGAAAGTGACGGCCAGCAGCCGACTTGCTTTCAGATGGAAAGCGCTGCTCCCATTCTGACCATTCCGAACTAGGCCCACGCTTGGTTATTTGATATCAAAAAAGCCATCATGGGCAGCGAAAAAGCGGGCAGATATTCGTAGTTGGATTGACTGCATGGTCCGCGGTCACCCTTGTCGAGGGGTCATCCCATCTCGAAAGATGAAGTAGATGGAGTTGGGCATGAAGCTGGAGTCTTGTGAGTTGCCGGAGCCTGCGAAGCGGGAACCTTCCGTCTTCTCGAACGAAGTGGATCGCGAGTTGGAGGCTTGATGCCAGCTTGGTCTACTACCCCATTGATTTGTTGCATTGAGAGTCCGCCGCCAGCCGTTGAACTCAAGCTGACTTGATTCTTTGGGAAAAGGGATGGGGATAAAAAATCTTAGCTGTCGAGAAAGAGAGCTCGAGCATCAGGTGAAGTCGGGTTCCGGTGTCACGTCAATTGTCAGGCCGAGGGCAGATCCCAGCGTGATGGAGAGGCTAGGTCAGCTAGAGCGGCTGGAAGAGATTTGCGTCCTGGAGACCGTGGAACATGACATGTAGTATAGAAACGAAATAACAAGAGTAAGTTGAAGAAGGGGAGGGGGGAAGAAAAAAAAATAGTTGAAGGGCAAAGCGAGAGTGAATCAAGTGCATACTTAAGGTAAGGTAGGTTGGTCAAGTAAATCAGGCGGGAAAGAGGACGGGAGGATTTCATACCTTAGACGAGGCAGGTGTAACATATCTGGCCTGCATCTTTCCTTCCTTCTCCTCCGCCGCCACTCGTCTCCTCCGTATCTCTTTCTGCCTAGGTATTTCTCTCTCTCTCTCTCTCTCTCTCTCTTTCTTTCGCGCGCATTCTCACTTGCCCGCTCCCTTCCCTCCTGTTCCCGTCTTATCCGGGTGCCTTTCTCGCCTCTTCTCCTCGTTCCCTGGCTCCCGTTTCGTCTGATCAACAATCAACTGCGTTAGTTGCGTTGGGCCGCAAGCTGGGTTATATTAAATTCCAGCCGCTCCCTTCCACGTTCACGTGTAGGACACCAACCATCAGCGGCAAATATCAGAAACCGCGCCGGTGCCGGTGCAAGCTCTAGTACCAACACCAGCACCAGCCACACCCATGCTCCGTCTCTTGTGCAACGGCAGCGCCCTCCTGCGTCTTACGCAAAGTCTCCTGTCGACTTACACAAGCTTCTGCTTTGGCTGAGACGTAAACTCAGACACGCCAATTCGACGTACATTATCGCCCTTCGAGGAAGATCATTTATTGTTGGACTACACAGTACAAATCGTGGTGCTCGGCAGTCCAGGTCTTCCATCCGAGCCCCGCACATCAACTTCATCTTGGTAAAATACGAAAGGGACCATCAGTCCATTCCGGCGCCGCTGCATTAAGGAGATTATTGGAGACGAAGACCCTCGGGCCAGCAACACAGGCCGAGAAAAGTTCACGGAACCAAGGATTCGACCAAGCTGGATCGGAAAGGGTCCCTCCCCCCTCTCCAAGGGAGAAAAGAAACGACAAATTACCCACTGGCCACTGTCCGCGCCGGCCTCTGGAAAATTGGTGGTGCTTGGACAGCCGCAAGTGAGATAATTTAACGAGACGGCATCTCCTCGCCCTTCTTCCCACGATTACGGCCCAGTCTTAGCGGTCACGGTCAACTTCTCAGTTGAGGCGGAACAGGAAAAACGCAGAGCTGGCACAGGGCAACAACCCCGTCTTCTCCCGTGCTGCTTTCTTCTCTTGGCTCGGCTCAGCTCAGCTCGACAAAAGTCTACCTCGCCTTGCCTCAACCTCATGACCTGCCGGCAAAGGCGACTCCCTCTCTCTCCCGTCTCTCTCTCTCCCCCTCAGCGACCTCGCACGCAGCACGCAGCACGCCCTGACGATCGACTCTGGCTCCTGCACTTTTTCTTCCTCTTGTAGTCTTGCAGTGTCAGAGACTTGGCAGCAACCTCGCTCAAAGCACCGAGGACGAAGCACGCAGCACGAAGCAATCAGTTGCAGTTGCATGTCGCAGTGGCAGTAGTGGCAGCGTTAGCGGATATTAGCGAGTATCTGGTACCTGCATTCCGTCCCTAGGTGCATGTACCGCAGCTGCTCCCTTTTCCCCGCTTTTCCCCCCTGGGGCCCACGCACATCTCCGCCTTCACTTTCTTTGGGCGGTACTTGCATTGCACCTGACCCCTGCAAGTACACGATACTCCCGGGGACCTACCTTGGATTCGACCAGCAATCTCTCAATCGCGCGCTTTCTCTCTCTCTCTGCGTCTCTGCGTCTCTCGCGCCCGCCGCCCGCTCACCCAATCTCTCGAGTCTCTCTCCTCTCTTTTTTCGAGACTGACTTCCGCGCGACCTGGGTTGTTCCTCTCGTTGCGCACCTGCATTGCGCTGTTCCAAATAGTATCGGGCGCCCTCCAACCTTGGACCAGCTCGTCCCAAGTCTCATCTCTTCAATTTTACTCTGACGAGCATCAGAGCGTCTGACCGTTGGTTCTTCCTAACTCTCCCTCGCTCAAACCCAAGAAGAGGCCCATTCCCGATCCCGCCTATCTCTTCTCTCATTCTGGTCTGGTCGCCCTCAATCGCCCTCCACATCTCCTCCCACCGCCTCTCGCTCCAACCTGGGCCCTCACCGCGCATTACCTCATCCCGCTTGTACCTGACTTCACTGCACCAACGACCCCGTTTCGTCTCCATTGTCATTGTCTGGTGCTGTTTTTCTGGTCGGCGATCCAACTCGCGCCGCAAGTCTGCCGCTAGTCTCGAGCCCGCCGAGACAGAGAAGCGCGCCATCGACAACTTCATCCGTCGACAAAAAGCCTCCAATTAGACTCGGCTCCCAACGCTCATCACCGTTCCTTTCGTCCCTTTCGTCCCGCTTGCAAGAGCTGCTCTGGTGGTTCGAATCCAGGCCAGACAAGCCCGAGTGGTTCGCCAAAAGGAGTAAGCTCCTACAACAACATACCGGTCTCCATACCGCCATACTCCAGCCTGCCTCTTCATCCTCGACTGGGGTCACCTCACCGACTCGACTTGGACTCTTTCTCTACCGCCCATTTTCCCTCCTGTCTACAGCCCCCGTCTGGTCTCAGACGGTGTCAAAGGACACGACAGAAAGAAAAGAGGGTATAAGTGCAAAGCCATAGGTATCAATCCATCGCACAGCCATTCACAGCAGGGAGTGTACGTGCACCACTACCCCTTTGTCGCGTCACTGTTCCCAGTGTTGTTGCTGCATTGACTCAACCTTACCCCCAAGACGATCATTGCCGACACATTTTGTCTGGGTCAAGCTACAATAAACAACAACTCGCAGCCCTCGACCAAGGGGGAAAAACGATTGACCCCTTTCACCCGCACCATGAGATAGACTAGCCCGCTTCATTGGTACAGCAGACACGCACAACACGACCTACCCAAGGACCATAATACCCCCAATCGGGCTCTCCCGTCCCATACCAATTCAGGCCGAATTAATTCCTGCAGCTCAATAATTCCAGCGTCCTGAAACCTGGTGCCCAGCGAGCAACTCTACCTTGCTGAACAGCATTCGCTTACGGGCCTCTTTCTCGCTTCTCAATTCTCCGCCAACATACCAGCCTCCCTTGACCCCTTCCAAAACGCACCAACATCGCAGGCCGACCTCTAGGTTAGCGACAACCGCGAAACCAAAACACGCCGGACTTGGACGGCCGCCCAGTCGAACTCTATTTTCTTGCGCGCTTGTGTTTCCACTGTCGCAAAAGCATGTCCTCGGCCGCTTTGCAGCCTGCCCATCAAACCACAGCTTTAGCATCACCGCCTTTGGTCGCAGCCTCACAAAGCAGCCGTCAGTACACGTCGAACTGCTCTTTCCCGACCCGCGAGGCGTACGATGCCAATCTGCAAAACAACTTTGCCTCTCCTGCATCGTCACAACGCCCTCCGAGTCGACCGAGCGGAAACGGCGCGTTTCTAAACACTACGGACCCGACCTCGCCCATGACGTCCCGAGTTGTCCCCGCCAGCCCCGTCGCCGTCGCGCCTTCTTCCCCAGACTACCAATCCTCATCTTCCGAACAACGCAGAAACATGCCCCCCGTCGCCCCTCCTCGAACGTCTTCGACGAATCACTCAGGCGCTACTACCACTACGACTACCACGAAAAGACGCGATCACGCTGCCGAAAAGGCGGCATCGTCTCCGCGACGCGGTCAAGCAGATGGAACGAATGGTAACGTCGACTACACCTACTCCGACGACGGTACTGCTTCACGTAGCAGAAGGTCGCATCAGCAAATGTCACCCGACTCCCCCCATCGATCGAGCGGCAACCGTCCTGGAAGCCAGCCGACGGCGATCCCCGTGCGATCACATGCACCTCCCCAGACCACTGCGTCACCCAAGCAGCCCTCACGCGAAGCAAGCGAGGTTCTCAATAGAATGGTTGTTTCTCAACCCGAAGTAGACATCGCCCGCGAGAAGGAGCGGCTAGCAGAAGCTCAGTCTACCCGTATAGGATCATCACATGATGACGCCGCACCTCCCCCAATTGTCGGTATGTCCGAGCATGATGACGGCAGACGGGGAGGCAGAAGCCGACATGATCATTCCGGGAAGCGCGAGAAGACCGTCAGATTCGGCGACTACG